ATTGCCATTTTCTCTCCTCCTGGAGCCCGTTCTTTTATTGTTCCTAAGTCTTCTCATTTTCTTTCACTTCCAGTAACCTATTCTGTCTTAGGGGCATTATCACCTTGCCTAGGCTGACATGATTAAAAAAAACATAATGAGAATTCTTTTTTTGGAAACCTTAGAAGACCATCAGTCTTGTAATGCTGCTCCTGCAGCAACTGGGTAGGTTGGGGAAGATCTATCTTAATAAATTGACTTGGTTTATTTCAGGTTCAAATCTTCCCAGAGTCATCTCCAAATTCATTTTAAGGTTTCTAATTATTTTTTCAATCTGTTCTTCCTTGTTCTCATTGATGCTTAGTTTCTTTGAGTTTTTTTTACCATTTTGATCTAAATGAATTCCTTCTCAAAACTCTCATTAGGCATTCCCAAGAAGTAATAAGTTGGCCCCCGAGTTACCCACCCGTAGTAAAAGATGTTGGCCCCCGAGTTACCCACCCGTAAAAGATGTTGGCCCCCGAGTTACCCACCCGTAAAAGATGTTGGCCCCCGAGTTACCCACCCGTAAAAGATGTTGGCCCCTGATTTACCCACCCGTAAAGATGTTGGCCCCCCAGTTACCCACATCTTTTTAAAGATGTTGGCCCCGAGTTACCCACCCGTAAAGATGTTGGCCCCCGAGTTACCCAATTATAAAAGATGTTGGCCCCCTTTTACCCAATTTCAAGATGTTGGCCCCTGTTACCCACCATGTAAAAGATGTTGGGCCCCGAGTTACCCACCGTAAAAGATGTTGGCCCCGGAGCACCAAAAGATGTTGGCCCCGAGTTACCCAATTCTAAAAGATGTTGGCCCCGAGTTACCCACCAGTAAAAGATGTTGGCCCCGAAAGTTACCCAAATGTAAAGATGTTGGCCCCGATTGTTACCCACCCAAAAAGATGTTGGCCCCGAAAGTTACCCACCCGTAAAAGATGTTGGCCCCCGAGTTACCTACCCTGTAAAAAGATGTTGGCCCCTTTTACCCACCATTAAAAGATGTTGGCCCCCGAGTTACCACCCTGTTAGACAATCTTTAAAAAAAAAAATCTATTAAACTCCATGTACAGATTATTCCCGGGCTAGCATTTATCATCTTCTCAGGCTAACGTTCTCACCTGACATGAAGTAGACTATATTAAATCCATTGCTAGGTCAGTTGCTAAGAAAGTAGATTCACTGTGTCGTGTGAGACAATAATTCTCACCAGAATCTGTCTTGTATATCTTTATAGATATGTAAGACAGATTCTGGTGAGAATTATTCTACCATTTGTCCATAGTTAGAATATTGCTGCTACATATGGTCTGGTACCCCTGCTATTAAACATGAACTCTTTGATAAAATCTAAAGAAGAATCGGCAATGTTATTGCTCCTGATCTTAGCAGATCGACTTCAGTCATTTTCCCACCACTGTAAGGTTGCCTCTCCGTGTCTTTTCTATAAATATTTTTGTGGTAATTGTTCAGATGAGCTTTTTGTGATGGTACCTAGACTTTTTAAATTTAAGCACTGCACTAGACTGGCATCAAGATCTCATCAGTTTACAGTTGCGCTGGTTAGATGTAGCCATAAATTCTATGCTAACAGTTTCTTTTCTTGCACTTCTCGCTTTCAGCTCCGTATTTTCCAGCCAACTTTAATCTGCAAAAATTTAAATGCAACTTCAATTGCTATCTACTGTCCTCCTGATTACTCTTTCGTCTTCCCACTCATTATTAATGTTTCTGTTCCTAAATCTTTCACACTCAGTAATCCCTAGTGTCTTAGTGGCTTTACTGCTTTACATGGGGTGATACCAATTAAAAAAGAAAAAAAAAAGACTTATATAGGTGTTAATAAGATGTAGTATAACATCTGACCAAAAATGGTGACACTAAGATTAAAATGTAAAAATTGTTCAGTTACTTGTTTCAAGGAAATGTATTGTTTGTTTCTATTTCATGAGTAAAATAACTAAATAGGATGCAATAAATAAACAAATAATACATTATCTTAGAATAAATACTTACAGAATTTATCAAATTAAAATAAATAATTACTTAGTGCATATTTTCGTTTGGAGTATGTAGATTTGGTTATTGTTGACATGTTTTATTATTCTTAATGTTAAACCATAGGGATAATGATCTAAAACTAAATATCCATTGCAAATGAACTAATAAAAATGATCTCAAAAATTTCTCTTCTCACCATAACAACAAAATAAAATCCGGAATAATTATTGGATTCTATTTATCATATATACACAATGAGGAGTGTGATGGACATTAAAAGCAGATAGCCTAGACGCGCATATGAAGGTTAATTTCCGCCTAGCAACAAAATAAAGATTACTTGAAGTCTTATGACATTTTGGGAAGGCAGGTCAAAAGGTCGACTGACCCAATTACCCGTAATGGAAAATGTCTAGACAGAAGCTAGACAGGGGATGAAGTAAGTAAGAATTTGTGCCAAAAACTAAGACACATGACAGTCAAAGATTCACTCAACGATCAGTTGTTATCTGGACTTTGAAAAGGCAAGACCGAAGCCGAGACGCTAGTGGTTCATGAACGGAAAGATAAGATGCATTCGATAGTGATGACTTATCCAGTTCTATCCAGGCAAGTCCGGACACGGAATCTAAGGAAATAACATGTTCGAAAAATCCCAATTTGAAGACGATTAGAAAAGATATCAGAAAGAAAGCGTGATAATCCGATTCAAACTTGTATAAAGAAGAGGAAAGTGTACATCCCTGTTGCAAGTCGAGCTGTTTTCAGAAGAAGAAGAAAGTGTACATCCCTGTTGCAAGTCGAGCTGTTTTCAGAAGAAGAAGAAAGTGTACATCCCTGTTGCAAGTCGAGCTGTTTTCAGAAGAAGAAGAAAGTGTACATCCCTGTTGCAAGTCGAGCTGTTTTCAGAAGAAGAAGAAGAAAGTGTACATCCCTGTTGTAAGTCTGTTTTCAGAAGAAGAAGAAAGTGTACATCCCTGTTGCAAGTCGAGCTGTTTTTTTCAGAAGAAGAAGAAAGTGTACATCCCTGTTGCAAGTCGAGCTGTTTTCAGAAGAAGAAGAAAAAGTAAATCCCTTTGCAGTCGAGAAGAAGAAGAAGAAAGTGTACATCCCTGTTGCAAGTCGAGCTGTTTTCAGAAGAAGAAGAAGAAAGTGTACATCCCTGTTGCAAGTCGAGCTGTTTTCAGAAGAAGAAGAAGAAAGTGTACATTCCTGTTGCAAGTCGAGCTGTTTTCAGAAGAAGAAGAAGAAGAAAGTGTACATCCCTGTTTCAAGTCGAGCTGTTTTCAGAAGAAGAAGAAGAAAGTGTACATCCCTGTTGCAAGTCGAGCTGTTTTCAGAAGAAGAAAGTGTACATCCCTGTTGCGTTGCAAGTCGAGCTGTTTTCAGAAGAAAAGGAAGGAAGGAAAAAGACGAAACAAGAGAGAAAGAAAGTGTATACCTCTATTACAGACTGGCAGTGTATGAAATGGTGTTTGTGCCTAGACAAGAAAAGAAAGGACATTGATATATATATATATATATATATATAGAAAGAAAAAAAAAAGAGAGAACTGAATACAAAAGATAAGTAATCACATTTTGGACCCGTAGTATAAAAGATATATACACACACACACACACACACACACATAAATATTATGTTTTTTTTTTCGCAAACACCTTTCCACATGTAAAACAATAATTATAATTCCTATCCCATCTCTTTTATGTATGTGCATTGGCTTCTGCATTCAATTCATAGTAATTCATACTTGTACTTTATATGTTCAGGTTCAGTTGAATCCATTTGGTGTTCGGCGAATTTGATATCCCAAATAAGTTCGAGATCTGGTCGTCAGATAGTTTAACTCATACTTATCTGTTCTTTTATATTTGATATATGTATATTTGTATATATTAAAATTATTGTATCAAATCGCTAAGTCTTATAGTTCCTCCTTGTATTGTGGATCAGTATTTGTGTTGAAAACGAAGCGGACCTGGGAAAGATTACTGTTCGATTATCCCAATGGAACAGTGATCTTAAAAATATTTTTTTGTTTACCAATTGTCCACTCTCTCCCCACAGGTGTGAGAGTGTATATATCTCCTAGTCGGCATATGGTCGCCCTATAACCCGTTCGTCGACTGGGGCATATGACAGGAGAAATACATTGAAAATATTTTTAAGCTCCCCAAATATCTTAATGGTAAATGGAAAGCTCATCAAATTTTTAAAAATTAAAAAAAAAAAATAATCTTAATAAATCGGGCACGATATCTACCATGACTATATTTGCAAAGAATTTATTTAAGCTTTATTACAACTACTTCTAAAATCATAAGCAATTTAATATGAAACAAAATAATATCAACTTAAAATCTGAAGCAGCAATTTAGACCATAAACTTTCTTTAAAAGAAAAAACTCCTTTCCCAAGCCAACATACATAAACATAAAATTTTTTAAAAATTTAAAAGAAAAGCGTTAACTCAAGACCTATTATTTAGAATAAATACATACAGAATTTATCAAATTAAAATAAATAATAATTGTTGTATGTATTTTCAGTTGGAGTTTGTAGATTTGGTTATTGTTGACATGTTTTATTGTTCTTAATATTAAACCATAGGGATAATAATCTAAAACTAAATGTCCATCGCAAGATCTCTTAAATTTCTATTCTTACCATAACAACAAAATAAAATCTGGAATAATTATTGGATTCTATTTAAGAGCATGTCATCATAGTTGCAAAATGAGGAGAAATATATTGAAAATGCTTTTAAGCTTCTCCAGTATGCTAATTATTTCATATTTAATGCTCAGAAGAAAGCTCATTAAATTTATAAAAATAGAATAATGAATGATCCAAATAATCTTAATAAAACTAGACATGTGATATTATCTATCAGTTCTATCATAGCTATAATTGGAAAGAATGCTTTTGTATAAAATAGAGAAGTTTATCTTATTTAATATTGTCTTTCTTTTTTTCAGGACATTTGACTATAATAGAAAGCAAACAATGTCTTCCATGAGTAGCCAAACCCAGAATACCAATTCCTATGCAAGGATGACCTCTTCAAGAAGACAGACAAGAAAGTACCAAAGAAATCTCTCCAGGAACTGTTTGGAAAAGTCTAATCTGGACACTGAAAAATCTATAGACTTCAATGGTTTGAATGTGACTGAACTGGTGACGACATTGTCCTCCACTCCGACAGCGTCACCCTCCCCATCTGCTGGGGCATTCTGCCGTAGAGTCACTAGACAGTATGTTGCTGAAACCTCTAATGCTCTGCGTGAAGTGAGGCAACAGTCAAGACCCGGTGTCAGGGGTCGCGGAAGGCGGAAATTTAAAGATTGCAGTTTTAAAAGACAAAATGATCAAAGAAAAATTGCAGGGCGAGGCCGAGGTTGTAGCCGAGGTCGTGGCCGAGGTTGTAGCCGAGGCCGAGGTCGTGGCCGAGGTTGTAGCCGAGGCCGAGGTTGTGGCCGAGGTCGAGGCCGAGGTTGTAGCCGAGGCCAAGGTTGTGGCCGAGGCCGAGGCCGAGGTTGTAGCCGAGGCCGAGGTTGTAGCCGAGGTCGAAGAGGTAGGCCTCGTTCAAAACATCGGAACATTGGCGTGTCTGATGTCCACGAGGAACCCATGATAGATGGTGAGAGTGTGGGGGTGAACTGCTTGCAAGAAACTCAAAAACCAGCAATAGATGGTGGGTTTGTCATTGTAAAAACAGAATCTAATTTTGATGCAATGCCAAAGTCGGAACCAAATGGCTGTAATACCCGTACTTCTGCGACATTGGCTGCACCATTTTCAACTACAGTGGTGACAACCATGACTGCGACAACAACCTCAGGAACTTCATCTCAGTGTTGCACATTGTCTGTCCCACCGCAGTTAAAAGAAGATGGTGTACCGTCTATGTCATCACCATCTTCAGGACATCATCCATATCGTTTGATGGTATACAATACTGGTTCAGCAGCTTCTAGTGTGTCTTCAATGGATTTGGATAAAGGCTGGCCTTACCATAAAGAGGTAAGAAACTTGCTTTATCAGTGTTTTCTTTTTGTTTGATGGTTTGCTATTTGTTTATAAATGGGACCCTAATAGGTGCTACCACCCTGGGAACAACAAAAATTAAGAGGTGGTTCCACACTTCTCAAAACCTTCAATCTCCTGATCAAAGGCCTTGCTGCTAGATGTAGTTTATCGCCAATCTTGTAGATTTAAACAGATTTTCATTACATATGAGTAAAAAAAAAAAAATCTATACCCAGTTGACCTTTGAACTAAGTTGGCAGGTAATAGACAACTGCTGGAAAGAAATGTAGATTTCATTTTAATCTAATCTTTTTCCAAACTCAGGTAAGTAATTAACTGATATTCAGTGAATCTTATTTCTATAATGGCTACTTTATTTGTGGAATATTTTACTATATCTAACAGTATATACGGTGCATATATATATATATATATATATATATATATTCATGTATGAGTAAATAGCAAGACAAACTGGGTTCTATAACCTTGGGTGGCGAAGAGTCTAGGAGAAGGACAACTCTGAATGCAAAACCTGCTGAGGGTTGTTTGAGGATCTTGTGGCATACTGTGTGCCAGTTGTCTGTATTCAGCTCTTCCAAAAGGTTGTTCTGCACAAGCCTTAACTGCTATAATCAAATGATATGTGCAAGTAGTCTGGCTGTTGGTTCTAAGTTGCTTGATTCAATTTTATTCTTAAGTAAGAAAAAAAAAAAATTGGGGGGTATCTTCTTTTCCATTCTCAGTGTTTTCTTGTTTTAATTTCTATGGTTAATTAGTTAGCCAATTATCATAGCTAAATAGTCACAAAAAGCAAGTTAGCAGTACAGTTGAAGATCAAACAGCATATCACAATAATGAAAGCATCCTCCACGATTATGGTTATAAATCAGTGTTACCATTGCCAGTAATTCCATTATTGTTACTGGCAATGTTGTTACCATTGCCAGTAATTCCATTATTGTTACTGGCAATGTTGTTACCATTGCCAGTAATTCCATTATTGTTTACTGGCAAATGTTGTTACCATTGCCAGTAATTCCATTATTGTTACTGGCAATGTTGTTACCATTGCCAGTAATTCCATTATTGTTACTGGCAATGTTGTTACCATTGCCAGTAATTCCATTATTGTTACTGGCAATGTTGTTACCATTGCCAGTAATTCCATTATTGTTACTGGCAATGTTGTTACCATTGCCAGTAATTCCATTATTGTTACTGGCAATGTTGTTACCACTGCCAGTAATTCCATTATTGTTACTGGCAATGTTGTTACCATTGCCAGTAATTCCATTATTGTTACTGGCAATGTTGTTACCATTGCCAGTATTTTCTTCAGTTAGGTCTCCCTCTTTTTTTATTTTCTTTTTTTACTTGCTAAAAAATCAGTGTGTTGAAACATATTTAGGTATGGAGGACCAGCTGGTAACAACAAACATTGCTGCTGCTTTGCTAATTTCTTTTGCAGCAGAAGTATTAGTAGTAATAATAATATTAACGAGTCAGGATAGATAGACATGACCATTTGGGGTAAAATTATAGCTTACAGTAGTGAGTGTTGTGGATAAAATTAGGATTGGCAGTGACCTCAAATTTGCATATAAGATGTAGGGTAATTTCAATGTCATCATATGTCATAATTTCAATAGATACTATTAAGGAAAAATGGTCCACTCCTAAAAACTATTAATTTTCATTTTAAATTTTAGAAGTGGGGGTTGTATTCATAATATAAACAGAGTAACAAATTGATCCCTGTTTTATTTTTTATTTACAAATTTGAAATTGGGCCTACAGTTTTTTTTTTTTTTTTGTTTTTTTTTTCCATTTAAGGATTTTCCTCCTTTTCAAAATAATTTTTTGTGAAACACATTACCTTTCTCTTTGAACAAATTCATGTAGTACACAATATGACATTATTGACAATGATTCCTTCAGTGTCATATTACATTGCTTTCTGTTTGAATTTTTGAAAAGTTGCTACTATTTACACAGGGACTATTATCTTCATCTTTCATTGTTGTTATCAAAGTGTTTCAGACATTGTGCTCTATGGTCTTCATCAGTAGTTTGTTCATCTAGGTAAACTTGAAGAAATTTTGAACAGAACACTTTATTAAATCTATAAGGTAGATTGTTCTTGTTCTGCTGTCTGTGTCTAGTGATATCTCATCTTGTTCTTGTTTACTACCATTCACTTACGTGCAAATACCTTTGGGAAAAATATTAATCATTCTCCTCTCTCCAATCAATTATTCAATCAATTTCATAATGCTGAAATTATAAAAATATAAAATGTTATATCCCAGACAGTTGGGTTGAACAAAAATGAATGAAAATGAAAGACAAGTGTATTTTAACACATAAATAAATAATTTTTATTCATTCACTGTCTGGGGAACAGCAATGATTGTATGGATTGGATTGAAACAATGAATTCCATGTGTGTCAGCTGGTTGCCATGTTTAATCCAGAAGTGACATTGTCATCTTGACAGACAAGGGAAGTAACTCATTTGTAATTTGAGTTATCATCCATTGTAGGGGAAGGAATTTAGCTTCCCCATTAGTAAGAATTTCAGAAAATCCAAATACATGTTCCAATAGCTTTTTATCTGCCAACTGGTAAACAAGATATAAACTTGTATCAACATTTATTGCTGTAAATAACTGTTGTAGTGACTTCTGAAACTGTTCTTGCTGTCAGCATAAAATTTCTTTAAGCATCTCTGGTGGAATTGCCATGTTGATTTTGAAGTTCGAGTCCTCATCGTCAAAAATGTTATATCACTGCTGGGTTGAATGAAAATGAATGTAAATGAAAGGCAAGTGTATTTTAACACATAAATAAACAATTTTTATTCGTTCACTGTCTGGGGAACAGCAATGATTGTACGGATTGAATTGCAACAATGAATTCCACCTCTGTGTGTGTGTGTCTGTGTGTGTCAGCTGTACCAACAAAACATAGTCGTTTGCAAGATAAATTTTTTGAAATTTTTTCACAAGTGTTTTTGCTCTAGTCTTATTGAGCCTGTTATACCCTCTTGGAAATCCAATTCTTTAACTCATATGACAAAAACAGACCATAATTTTGTCTGGCTCCATGCACCTCCTTCTGGAATCCTGCCAAAAAATATCAGGGTCATAAAACCATCTTTTTAGACTAATCAGAAAAAGGTGCCCACAGTTTTCACAGCAGCCATTTATATGCTACTGACTCACTACAAAGCCAACATTGATTTCACCCATGAAGGCAGATCTAACCTGGCTGGCATTTATGAATGACCCCATGGCAGGCAAGCTTAACCAAGCCATCAGCATTGAGATCAAATCGCTTCCATCCACACCAATGCCTTAGACCAGTGATGAAGCTGGTGGCTGCAGCAGAGACTAACTCTTAGTTACTACAATGCAATAATTTGTGGACTATTTCTCCCACAAGTCTATCTTATTCATATCAACATGTGCCTGTTGATTTTCTTTGCATGTCTGTCTCAGCTACCACCTTGTGTTATGCCCCTGAACAAACTCTGTCTTCCATGACTGATATAAAGAATAACCCGAAACAAGCAAATGATCGAACCTTGTAAATCGTGGAAAATAAAATAGTTTTACTTATCTCAACCATGTCTTATCTTGATTAGGTGTTTTATCGCTTTCACTTTTTTTCTTGTTACGAACAGGGTTGCCATTACAAGTGTTAAATTCTCGTAATTTTCCCAAAATCTACTCCTCTTTTAATTTTTGGTAATTTCATAAAGATCTACTCCCCTTTAAATGCAGTAAATTCTAATTTTACAAAGGTTTGTTGCTGTTGATTTTTTTTTTTTTTTTTAGACATAATAGATTTGTCTGAATTTCTGAAATGAGGAGTTATCATTATTTACACTATTTACATTCAGACTATTGTCCTCGTCTTTGTTGTTGTTACAACATTTCTGTTGTTCTCTTCGGCTTTCATCAGGTGCATATTGAACCAGGTAAATTATATGAAATTTTGAACTGAATCCTTTTTTCAATCTACAGGTGTACTGTTCTGTATGGCAAGCAATAACTGAGCATTACTAAAAAATAAGAAGGCTTACTGTTACATCACATTGAAACACTGGTTCCCATACAATCACTGAAGTTAAGCAAGGTTAAGCCTGGTCACTACCTAGATGGGTGACTGCTTGACAATACCAGGTACTGTAAGCTTGGATGTGCGAGTGGCATAATGAATAATGCCTTGGAATTGTCAATCAGAGAGCCAAGTTTTACTTCCAGTTGGGTTCGTTACATTCACTTATGTGCAAATACCGCATGGAAAGGTATCACTCAACCTCTCTCCCCCAGCTATGGGTTAATTAATAAAACTGGTATCACTAAATTATTTACATTATTCAGACTATTGTCCTCATCTTTGTCGCCATATTCATTACAATGTTTCGGCCGTTGTACACTCTGGCCTTCTTCAGGTGGTTGGAATGCCGAACTGAACCCTTAATTTTGCTCACTGGGGTAGACTATTCTAGTTCCACATGCTATGTTTAATGGATATCATGTTGTAATAAATATGGCAACAAAGATTTCCGATCTTGTGGTCTTATCCTCCTATCTCCCCCTGTCCCTATATTTAAAGAGGGGATCATGTATCATTTTTATTTTGTTGCAAGTTTCTTTCTCTTTACTCCTAGCATTTAATGATTTTTTTTTTTTTTCAGTTGCATTAAATAGAAATTAATTTCTCTCTTTCATTGTACACAGGTGTTTCCTTCACCACCTCCCCAAAGTAGGATCGATGAAATACTTATGTGGAAGCTTTTACCACCAAATGTCTATTCAGATTGTTGTCCTCAGCCATCACTTGTCTGCGGCCCACATCAGTTATTAAGGCTGTTTGGTAAGTTCACTTTTAACATTATTCATTGTCACTGCAAATTAGTCTTTATTTTTTCGCCCCTTAGTCTAACATTAATACAGTGTAAGACGGATATAAGAGAAACCCGGATATAAGAGAAATCCTGATATAAGAGAGATTTTCTCTGGTCCCAAATTAGAGCCCATACTTACCTAAACAAAATAGACCAAACCTGAATATAAGAGACTTCTTCTCCGGTCCCGACAACTCTCTTATATCCAGGTTACACTGTAAATATGGATTTTTTAAAACATTTTGACATAAGTTGAAATATGAACCATAATTATATGCTGGAATAATTTTGAACTCAAAAAAGCTGTCGTTATTAAAAGAGAAAATAACTTCTTAAGACAAAGATTCTGAGTGTGCAATAATGTGATTTCATAGGTGGGGATTTTTGAAGAGACATGTATGAATGCTGTGCATTAGAAAGTGGAAAGAGTTCAGTCATCATTCGACTGGAGATAAAGAAATGTGCTCTAGTGGGGGACGCTTTTTCTTTTTTTTTTTTCCACTCTAACACGTTTTGGAGAAAGAGGGAGAAAGTGGAAAGAAAATGTTTTTTTTTTTTTTTATAGCCAACTGGTATAATAAAATTTCTGGTTCCTTTATTATTAGCATCATGGAAAGATTTGTTTCTTTTTTTTTCTTATTTAATTATTGATTTTTATTTAATTCTCCTCACATTTCTCACTAAAATCTTCCCATTTTCTTTCACTCCCTGTGGCATTATTACCTTACTTAGGCTGAAATGATTAAATATATACACAAAATTGGTATTTGTTTTCCTTGAATAATACTAAATTTTCTGTTCTTTCTTTTGTAGTGAAACTTCCTGAATTGCTGGGCAAAATGGATCTTCCTGACATGAAGCTGAGCATCTTGGTGCATTATTTGGAGAACTTTCTTGAGTAAGGCAGAAATGTTTGATTTGAAAATATCTCTTCACTTAAAACTCCTAATGGATTTAGACTTATTTGCAAGCTTTTATCAAAGAGAGAAGAAAGAAAGAGAGAGAGAAAGAAAGAGAAAGAGAGAGAGAAAGAAAGAAAGAAAGAGAAAAGAGAAAGAAAGAAAGAGAAAAGAGAAAGAAAGAAAGAAAAAAGAGAAAAGAGAAAAAAAGAAAGAGAAAAAGAGAAGAAAAAAGAAAAAAGAAAAAAAAAGAAAAGAAAGAGAAAAGAGAAAAGAAAGAGAAAAGAAAAAGAAAAAAGAAAAGAAAAAGAAAGAAAGAAAGAAAAGAGAAAGAAAAAGAAAAGAGAAAGAAAGAAAAAAAAAAAAGAAAGAAAGAAAAAAAAGAAAGAGAAAAAAGAGAAAGAAAAAAAAGAAAAAAAAGAAAAAAGAAAGAAAGAAAAGAAAGAAAAGAAAAAGAAAAAAAAAAAAAAAGAAAAAAAAAGAAAAAAAGAAAAAAAAAAAGAAAAGAAAAAAAAAAAGAAAGAAAAAAAAAAAAAAAAAAAAAAGAAAAAAAGAGAGAAAGGAAAGAGAAAAAAGAAAAGAGAAAGGAAAGAAAAAAGAGAGAAAGGAAAGAGAAAAAGAAAAGAAAGAGAAAGGAAAGAGAGAAAGAAAAGAAAAGAAAGAGAGAAAAAAGAAAGAAAAAAGAGAGAAAAAAGAGAGAAAAGAAAGAGAGAAAAAAGAGAGAAAAGAAAGAGAAAAACCCGAAGTAGAGAGAGCGAGAGAAGTAGAGAGAGTAAAAAAAGCCAGAAGGAGAGAGAAAAACCTGAAGTCATTTGAAATAACAAGTGATTACTGATTCAATTCACATAAAACAAATTGGCAAAAAAATGATTTATTCCCCGGAAATATTCCTGTTGTTTGTACCGTATCATCAAAAACTGACAACAATATTTAAATAATTTTGACAGTAGCATTCTACATTAGTAATCTACGTATTTTATGCACTTAATTTTCTTGCTGTACATCAGAAAGAGTTCTGTTAGCTAAATGATTAAAAGTAACGGGAATAAGGAATAGAGGTCTATCCCAGATTCTTCCCAATATCTCCTTTCCTGAAAGAATGACCACAAAAATGCAAAAAATAAAAAAAACCTATGTTATTCAAAACATAACACAAAAATCAATCCTAATTCAAAATAATTTTAAATACTAATTTACATTTATATGGATATATAAAAAAAAACCTCCTAGCCACTTTTGTTGATTAAACATTGAATTGTATCACCTCACATCCATGAATTTGCCTGACTTTTCTGCTAACCTGATGAATATTCATGAGCACATCTATTTTTAAAAATTTTGTAAAACCAATAACATTTTTGCTCCTGTATATAAATATTTGTCACAAAAGAAATCCTTACATTCGCCTTGATAAATTCCCTCAGTGGATGAAATACACCAGCTAAGAGAAGTTTTCCTTTTGACTTTTCCATATTCTCATTTTACAGATGTACTCTTTCTGATTTTATATATATATATATATATATATATATATTGTCATATGCCCTAGTCGACGAATGGGTTTATATGGTGATCATATGCCGACCAGAAGATATATACATTATCACACCTGTGGAGAGATACGGGCTATCTCTCTCAGATCATGACAATGGACAATTAGTAAACAAAAAAAAAATATTTTAAAGAACACTATTCGATTAGGATAATCGAACAGTAATCTTTTCCCAGGTTCGCTTTGGTTTCAACACGAATACTGATCCACAATGCAAGGATGAACGATAAGGCGTAGTGAATTTTGATATAAGAACTTTAATATGTACAGATATACAAAATATAAAAATAAAAGAAAATATAAGCATGAGTAAAGCATCTGACGACCAGATCTCAAGACTTATGTTGGGATATCAAAATATGCCTAACTCCAAATGGATTCGACTGAACCCGAACGGATAAAAAATATAAGCATGAATAACTACGAATACAAAAATCAACGCATAACCAAAAGAGATGGGAGAGGGAGTTACATTAAAGAAAAAAAAGAAAGTTTTTTTATTTTTTAATTTAATTATTTTATTTCTTTTCTTTTATTTTTTTATTTTATATTTTTTTTATCAAAATCTTTGTTTTATTGTTAAGAGGATATTTTATATAAATTTTTTTTTTTTTTTTTTTTCTCATTTTTAGAACCTTTTGAAATTTTGGTTAAACATCTTGTTTCTCTGGTATCATTAGGGACCATAAATTTGTATGGGAAATTTGAGTGTCTTTTTGTGGTGAAAAACACGTTGATCTGGAAATTCTTGTAAAAATCAGATAATGATCAGATTCTATGAAACTGTCAGGATTTATTAACAAAGGAATGAAATTATTTTTGAAATCTTTTTTTTTAAAAAATCTTAGTAAAAAAAAAAAGATTTTGTTTTACATTTATTACCATGCTTATTTAATTTTATGAAATTTTGATAAATTCTTTTTTGTAATGCTTAATGTTTATATTAGTTATAAGAACAAGTCCTAGGAGAATTCAAATCCTCAAATTCATTGGATCAAACAGGACCCACAGTTACAGAAAATCTGAATCATAAAATTAAAACATTATTTAATTAGAAAAGCTTTTGATTACTTTTATATGTATAAAATATATTATGGGCACTATTAGAAACTTTTAAATCTTTTGTATTAATTTGTAAGAATCAAGTGTTATTGTTACTAAATAAAAACTATATTTACTAATCATCTTGTTAATTCAGTTACCTCCCCTGCTTTTTTTTTTTTTTTTTTTTTTGCATGTATAAATGTGTCAATTTTTATAAATACAGATGACATGACATTATCAAAAAATAAAAGTGGTGATTTATAGTAAATTTAAAATTTATTGGTAATTTCTACTAGATAAAATTCAATAGAATGCTTGAAATGTTTTAAAATTTGGAAGATGACTGGGAAGGTATAAAAAAAAATGGTCTAAAAAGTGTTTGTTTTATTTGTCATGTAATTTTACTGCAAGTATTTCTCCTTTACATAAATCATACAAACATCAGGTTATCAATAGATGTGTCAACATCTCATTAAAGGACACATCTCCATGTTAAAAAAATGATTTTCTGTGATATTTTAAATTAAAAGTAAGTAATATTTGTTTTAATTCAGATTAAGTAAACATTAAATCAATTAATCTTCCTCAAAGTTTCAGAAAAGTGTATTTTATTTTTCAAAGATTTTTTTTTAATAAAGAGAATTATTCTGTATTGATAGATTTGTCAATATGGCCAATTTTTAGTGATTTAAAAAAAAAAATCATTAAAATTAATTTAAATTCAGTTTGAGAAACAGTAAATTATTTGGGTTATTGGAAATATTAAATTTACTCTATTAGCTTTAAATTAAAACTAAAAAGCTTCAAGAAAGATTTCTAAAACACATTTTAAACCTTAGGTATCATTTTTTGGGGGAGGTGTGTGTGTGTGTGTATATATACATACACAGACACACACTGTATGTACTTGACTATAGTGTTAATTTTTATGTTCTTTTTTTATGCAGCAAATACAGGTTTACATTATACACAGATAATTTTTTTGCAAAGTTTAAAAATAATGCATTTTCAGTGTCCAGTTGTGCAGGAGGGGCTAAAATTCATGCCCAAAAAATTAGGGGTTGCACTAAACATGAAGTTGGCTTATACACAAGTCTATGCTGTGTGTGTGTGTGTGTGTGTGTGTGTGTATATATATATATATATATAGTCTTAAGGTGTCCTATCTTTATGGGATAAAGTGCTCAATATCAGAGATAGAGCGTGTGTAAATATAAAAGTGAACATAGAAGTCAACACTTAGAGGCGACAGTCTGTTTCATGCTATATGCAATCGTCAGGCCACACACACACACACACACACACACACATATATATATATATATATATATATATATATATATATAATTTCTGTTTGGAAAACTTTTTTTACTGTTGTTTTTAATAGCCAACACATTTTCATCCCCTGATATGTAATCCTTACGTTTGCCCTCGTGGGATGAAATGCGTTGATAGTAAAAAGTTTTCCTTTTTGTCTTTATTCATGCACACATACAATCTTAGGTGTAACTAACAAAAAAAAAAAAATTAAATTTTTTTTTTTCTTTTTGATATTGTGAAAGAATTTTTGTTTCATTTTTTTTTTTTTTTTTTTTTCTAGCTTCTTTGACGTTTTTTTACTTCTCTCAATCTTGCAGGTACTTAGCATCGAGGCATGAAGACTTGTTTCCCATATCAGCCTATGTTGATGCAGTGTGACAAAGGTATAAAGGAATTATACTTATAATTTCTCACCTGTAATTGCAAATGCATTGACAATAATTCTATCACCACCAACCTGTCTGTGTTCAAGCAAGAATTGGACTGCATTTTAGTAGAGCAGGACAAACTGAGGTGACATGGAAGAAAACCTTGTCACCCCCACCCGTCAACATTCCTGCCTGCTTTCACCTTCAAGAACAAAAGTTTTCATTTTGTCTTATGTTTTTTTTTCTTTTCTGTTATATTTAGACTCCTCCCCCCGAGTAAGGCCCATTACAGGTTCTTCATTATTATATCCACATCTCTTTATTTTTCTTTACTCCTGTTTGTTAGGTGGAGCCTGTTGATATATTTCTCTTGTCCACATTGTTAGAGAGATATACAATTTGACCACCATTGTTAAAGGAAGCAGTTTCCTTTTCACTTTCTTTTCCTTTTTTTTCTCTTTCTCTCTCTCTTTTCCTATTTTCTCTTTCTGTTCCTCTTTTCCTATTTTCTCTTTTTTCCTCTTTCCTATTTTTCTCTTTCTGTTTTCTTTTTTATTTTCTCTTTCTGTTTTTTCCCTATTTTCTCTTTCTGTTCCTCTTTTCCTATTTTCTCTTTCTGTTCCTCTTTTCCTATTTTCTCTTTCTGTTCCTCTTTTCCTATTTTCTCTTTCTGTTCCTCTTTTCCTATTTTCTCTTTCTGTTCCTCTTTTCCTATTTTC